TATTAGTACTTCTACTAATATTATTACTACAGCTATTAGTACTACTACAACTATTGTTACTACAGCTATTAGTACTTATACTAATATCATTACTACAGCTATTAGTACTACTACTACTTTAACAACAACATTACGGGTAATGGAAGCAAGAGGAAGTTCCCAAACAGGAGAGTTTTGGTTCTTTAAGTTTAGTATTTTACATCAAATTATTATATTTATTTATTTTGATCAGCAGCTCATTTTCACCAGAACTCTTCCCGTTAATGAGGGTTGGGTTGTTGGTTCTGATCCAGCCTCATTTCTGGGTCTCAGGACAGAACGGTCTTCAGTCCGGGCCTTCTGTGTAGTTGCGCCATTTGGCCACAAGTTGGCGCTGATGTCTAACTGTCTCCCGGCCTCCCAGACTCTCCTCCTCCTCCTCCTCCTCCTCCTCTCTCTCTCTCTCCTCTCCGCCGGCCCAGCCCGCCTCTCTCCTGCCTCTCTGCCTCAGCCAACCCGGGCCGTGCCGAGCTGCTCCCTGCGGGATCAGAGCGCTCCCCCGCCGGGACCCTTCTCTCACATCCCCCTGCTGGGACGCGGCTACATTTCCAGCCAAGCTCTGCCTGCCTTGGCTTTATTATGTGTGTGCGCGCCGCAGCCCCGCCAGCAGAGGCAGGCAGAGGAGGAGGAGGAGGAGGGAGGCTGGTAGCCAGAGTCAGGACAAAGAAAAAGCAGGGAGACACAGGCTCGCGGAGGCTCAGACCGCTGCAGACATTAGACCGCTCCAAACAGGACACACCGGGACATATTCACCTGAAGAAGCGCGGGAGTCAGAGCAGCAGTCCCCGCGGGGTGGAGATGCCACCAGAGCCTCAGCACCAGCGTCCAGAGTAGGAGGAGGAGCAGGAGGCGGCTGGGCTCGGTTCGGCTGCCGGAGGGAGCACGAACACGAGCAGGCTGAAACAGTGTCACCAAACAGGAAGCCCCCGCCACACACGCACGCACACACGCTCGCACACCTCTCTGTATTAGGCTACAGCTCAGGTGTTTGCCACGCGCGTGACCGGCAGCTCGCGCCCAGGTCCGTCCGCGAGCGCAGGAAAAGGTCGGAGCAGCACGAGCGCACGGAGAGAAGCGAAGCGAAACGCGTGCGGCGGCGGCGCGTGGAAGAGAGGAGACAACAAACAAGCCGCGGCTGTCGGAGGAAGTTGTTTCCTTTTGATCTACAGGTAGCGCGAGCCCTTTTCAACTTGTGGTTCTCCAGGCGCTCCTTCCAGCGCTTTACCCGGACTAACGGCTGCATACCCGGACTAACGGCTGCTTACCAGGACTAACGGCTGCTTACCCGGACTAACGGCTGCATACCCGGACTAACGGCTGCTTACCCGGACTAACGGCCGGTTCCTCCCCGGCGCAGGGCTGCTTTAC